CCTCAGCTCAACTCAATATAAGCAGGCGAGTGCACTCTGAATGGGTGCCAGCAGAGGAGTCTGTCTTTTCTTGTGTCGACTAGATGTGGTCTTAGATAAGATACTTTATCTAATCAATGCTTTGTAAGGGTGGAAAAGACTCATGCCTGCTTCTACAGGATGAACTATCCTGCTTAAAAGCAAAGTGCTTAACCTCCGATCAATACCCATCATTCCCCTTCTCTTTCTCTATTCCTCAAACTCAATAACAGCATTGATTTATGATCACAGTAATCATGATAAACGGCATTGTGAAAAATCTTAACTATGCCTACACATTTGTCATTTTTTACTGACGTTGCTTGATTCATGTTATTGAAATAATAGCTGTGTTACAAAACATTACTGAGATTTTATGTCTCGATAAGACATGAAGGTTTGTCTAAAGAATATAATTATGGTGACCTGAGATACCTTCTTAAGTTTTAAGGCAGCATTGCATGGATCATTTACAGAAAATGCAGTCCCAGAATGCACTGCGCTGAGCTCGGTAGAAAAGTCTATTGAAAATTAATATATTTTATTCAAATGCTGGAGAAAAAAAGTATGAGTTTTTTTTTTTTTTACCCAGTATTTGTGTAGCATGCATTTTTGTTTAGAGTATCAAGTTTTTAGCTTAGCAAAATGCTAAAGACAAACTCAACTGGATTCAATTGTGGTTCAAGTTTATTGCGCTTACAAAATACTATTGTGAATGTGAGCATCCAGTTGTTAGCTTAGCAGTGCTAAAAATAAACTCAACTGGAATCTTGGATTGGATTTACCATGAACTTCACAAACAAAACACCTGGTTGTTAGCTTAGCAAAATGCTAAAGCCAAATTAATGGTGTGTGCACACCAAAAGAGAATTTAATTATTTGCGTGAGTAGATTACATTCAAAGTCAGTGCAAAGATGCAAATAGAAGCAAATTCGCACATATTGGACCAAAAAACAGTACACAGAATCTCTTGGATTACAATTTGCAACTAGACGGATGTACTGTTACTTCCTCTACAGTCAAAAATCTGGGTGTTATATTAGATAGCAACTTGTCTTTTGAAAATCATATTTCCCATGTTACAAAAACAGCATTCTTCCATCTTAGAAACATTGCCAAGCTACGAAACATGTTACCTGTTTCTGATGCAGAAAAGTTAGTTCATGCATTCATGACCTCTAGACTGGACTATTGTAATGCACTGCTAGCTGGTTGTTCTGCATCTTCAATAAACAAGCTACAGGTAGTCCAAAATGCAGTGGCTAGAGTCCTTACCAGGTCAAGAAAATATGATCATATTACCCTTGAATATCTACAGAGTGAATCTCCAGTTGTCTGTTGACAGATGTACGTGATAACTTGTTGCGAAGAACACAACAGATATATTTACCTCAGAGAAGAAAGTAAGTTGATGGAATTTTGTTGTGTTTTTATAAATCTTGATTTGTTAAAAAGGTGCACTCAGGTGTTTTTTCCGGGTGAGTCGGTGTGAACAAAGTTGCTAAAAGAGTCTCATGAACGCACAGTTGTGTACAGAACACCAATTCAATTTTGGTTTGTTTGTTCCCATATACCTCCAGAACAGAAGGGCATACGGTGTTGGAACGATGACTTCACTTTAATTTCTGTGTGAACTAACCCTTTACAACCTCAAGTGTTAGCTTAGCAACATGCTAACGGCAAACTCTATTGGAATTCATTGTAGGTCTAGACCAGGGGTGTCCAACTCTGCTCCTGGAGAGCTACCATCCTGCAGCCTTTAGTTCCAACCCTGCTCCAGCACACCTGTCTGTAATTATCAAGCAACTCTGAACACCTTGATTAGCTGGTTCAGGTGTGTTTGATTGGGGTTAGAGCTTAAATCTGCAGGATGGTAGCTCTCCAGGAGCAGGGTTGGTCACCCCTGGTCTAGACTAAGGTGAGGAGCAATTTCAGTTGCTCCCTAATATGTAAATATTTTAAATCAGTCACTAATGAGGCTCCATTTACATTAGGATGCTGTCTTGTAGGCAGTAGACAGCATGGCAGCTCACTATAAAGCTTTTGAACTTCAGAATTCAAGGATACAAATTTAAAGGTATATTATCTTCTTGCGACTTCATCTAAACAGCTTCATTCACTTAAGGGCAAATCATGCTAAAATTAGTCATTGCCAGAAGTGGGAAGAAGATTTGAATGTGTGTTTTTATATCAATGGATGGTAAATGCACAACAGCATTGAAGAAGTAGTTCCTCAAGAAGTTCTGAATGAAGATGAAACTATATCATCATGTTTCTTTAATATTGTTGTGAACCTTCTTGGATGGCAGTGAAAATATAGACAAAACAATGCAGTTAATATTATTATACTGGCTGATATGCATCAAATAAAGTGGGTTGTTCTTTGATATCTAATCTGAGGCTAATTATGGATCTCCTTAATTAAAAAGTAAAGTAATTAAGACATTATTAGCGTCCACCAGTAATGGATACGCCTTGTAATTCATAGCACACATCACAAGAGATGAACAAAGAATCCCTGGACTTATGGCAAACATTAGCAGCCAGTTTATTAAAAGCGTTCATGTTGGCAAATTTGCTTTTAATCATCTCAAAATGGGTTTAGTGCTTTGGTCTGTTTTCTTGCCCTCTCTGTAGACTTTCCTAAACATCTCCATTCAATGGTCTTCATTAAAGAAAAACCTCAGATGGTGCAGAAGGAGGGTTAAATGCTGTGTTTCTATGCAGGTCTGGGATCATAGTGTCATTCCCGAGGGGGCACTTCCTCCATCCAGCCCCACGTCAAGGGCAGTAATAGGTGAAACACTTACACGTAGTACACTGAATGAATAATGCAGAAAAATCAAATGCTCTTTAGTGACTCACTGCCAACGGTCAAGAGCAGGTGAGTGCGCTGTGTGTCAGAAAACAGCATTCAAATTTAGTTCTGTTTTTAATTTGGTAAACCCCTAATACAGATACAGATCTACCACTTTTCTGCTGTGTCACCTTAATAAATGTGGGATAAAAGTAATTGTTTGAGATTTATTTGTGCTCATTTATATCTGATTAATTAATTTCTTTGAATGCACATTCAAATTAGATTAGAATAGCTCGATTGAGTTATGTAGATATTGTGTTTTTTGATCAAATATGATCATGTGTAGCTTAAGTGTCAAAATACCTTACATACAATTAAAAATAATAATTTGCATATATCGAATTTTCATAAAAAGTATTTAAATAATATTTGAATATAGTACTGTTCGAAACTTGGAGTCAGTACAATTTTTTTTATACTTTTGAAATCATTTTCACCACGACTGCATTTACTACCCTGTACAGCGCTCTCTCCCACCTTCAATAAGGCACCGAACCCCCAACTGCTCCCCGGGAGCCGCAGCAAAAAAATGGCTGCCCACTGCTCCGGGTGTGTGTTCACGGTGTGTGTGTGTTCACTGCTGTATGTGTGCACTTTGGATGGGATAAATGCAGAGCACTAATTCCGAGTATGGTCACCATACTTGGCCACGTCACGTCACTTTTATAAAAGCAATAAGCCCTGTGAAGCCGTGGTTTACAGTGAATTTATAACAGCTAAGGGGGATTTAGGCACTCCGCTTCGTGTCTAACAACGCCCCTTAGCTGTTATAAATTCACTGTGAACCACAGCTTCTTGGGGCTTATTGCTTTAATATATTTTAAAATGTAATTTATTCCTGTGATGCAAAGCTGAATTTCCAGCATCATTACTCCAGTCTTTAGTGTCACATGATCTTCAGAAATCATTCTAATATGCTGATTTGCTGCTCATTATCAATGATGAAAACAATTGTGCTGCTAAATATTTTTTGGAAAACATGATTTTTAAAAAACATTTATTTAACTTTTTTTCAGAACTATTTGACGAGTTGTGCGTTAAAAAAAACTGCATTTATTTGACAGAAATATTTTGCATCACTACAAACATCTTTACTATCACTTATGATCATTTAACACATCCTTGCTGAATAAAATGATTCAAAAATCTTATTGACCCCAAACTTTTGAATACTAGTGTACATTTATAAGCTTCATATATGAGAATATGAGACATATACATTATCCATATCATCACAGAGCCACAAAACAAATACCAACAAGGTGGAATTATACAAGACTGTCAAATTACACACAGCCTCAGTCTGGCACCCCAGATGTCTATTATCCTGCACTTTTACAAATGGAAATGGAATTCCTAAATATAAAGGCTTAAATCATCTAGGCAGCATATTATCTGCTGGAGTACAAATCTAAAACGGTGCCTCGGTGGTTACTATCTATACACTCAGGTTCACGAAATGAGGTCGGATTAGTTTATGCATTATTAAATACACTCAAGATAAAGGCCAGGCTATGGATCACTTTACAGCCACACATATGGAAACAAACCCACTGCTAATTCCAGCAGATCCATTTGAAGCCATTAATAATGGAGAATTAGTGCAGAGTGCTGAATTAAAACGGTTTGCTGGCTGAAACAGGCTTTTTATGGAAAGACTAGAAATACGATATGCTAATCGACCGTTCGTGCGCTGCTTATTTGAAGCGGAAAAGGTGTTTCTATCTTTGAAGCGACACTGCTCTTTCTTCGATGTGATATTTAAATCACAGCAGTCGTACAGCTGTAAATGATGTGAGCGCTTTGAGCCGAGCGGAGAAAGGCGATCATTAAATGCCCGATCAGATAAAGGCCAGCAATTTCCTCCAATTACCAACCCAATCAACACCATCGGGGGTAAAATAACTGCATCAATAGACATGAGTGTGGGAGGTTCGTTTACAAAGGAGGAATTGAGGCCCTTGATTGGACAATACAACAGGAAGTGATACACACAAACATACACAGCATGCACATCTCTGTATTAATGATCTCAATCTGCACAATACAATTTCCCACAGCGCAATAAAATTCGCTCAAAGCATCCTAAGATGTGACTGTGTGTATACAGTATGTACTTACTGCACAGACTTGGACACCTGAGACCTGAACTTGGTAAACTCTCCTGGTGCGGTCCATTCAGATCCCAGCTGAAACACAGAACAAACCAAAGGATTCCTTGATCATTAACGTTGTAATCAATGTGTAATTTGGTTTACATAATATGATCTACTAAATGAGACTTCTCTTACTTAAAGGAATAGTTCACCCGCCAAAAATGAAAATCTGCTGAAAATGTATTCACCCTCAGGCCATCCAAGATGTAGATTTTAAAGAACAGTTTGTTTGTTCATGGGAACAGATTTGGAGAAATGTAGCATTGCAGTGAATGGGTGCCGTCGGAACGAGAGTCCAAACAGCTGATAAAAACATCCCAATTATCCACCGTGTAACCAACACCACTCCAGTCCATCAATTATCATCTTGTGAAACAAAAAGCTGCGTGTTTGCAAGAAGCAAATCCATCAATAAAGCATTTTAAATTCAAACCATTGCTTCCAGCTAAAATAGGAGTCCTCGGATTCATATTGATTAGTGAAAATGTCATCTCATCCGAATCAGGAGGGAAATATGCACAGATCATGTTCTAAACAAATATGTGGGTGGATTCTGATGTGAGAGACAAAAGGGGATGAACTTTTTCACTGGAGGGAAGCGTTATTATGAATTATGGACTCGTACTTTGGCTGGAAGGTATGGTTTAAAGTTAAAACGTCTTGATGGATTTGTTTCTTACAAACACACAGCTTGTCATTTAACAAGATGTTAACTGATGGACTGGAGTGGTGTGGATTACTTGTGGATTATTGTGATATTTTTATCAGCTGTTTAGACTCTAATTCTGACGGCACCCATTCACTGCAGGGCATCCATTGGTGAGCAAGTGATGCAATGCTTAACTCATCTACATCTTGGATTTTCAGCAAATATTCATTTTTGAGTAACTATTCCTTTCATATGATCCGTTTTCATTTAAATTTGATAATAATAGACTTTTTTTCCGATTTACTCATAATAATTGTTCTAGTATTTTTATTTATTTATTTCTCATTATCTGACCATGAATGTTTAGGTGAGGCTTCTGAATAACAAATAGTTGTGTAAATGTGGGTGGTATATATCTGGGTAAATGACATAAGAGTGTGTTTTTCAAAGAAAAGTTAACATTTAATGTCAAGTGGTACAATCGTGGTCAAAATTGTTGGCACCCTTGATAAATATGATCAAAGAAAGCTGTGAAAATAAATCTGCATTGTTAATCAATTTGATCTTTCAAAAGTGGGGGGAAAAAACACATTATGAAATACATGTTTTTCTCTAATAATGGCCACAATTACTGGTATCCCTAGAAATTCTTATGAGTAAAATATCATTCCCAGTCATGTTTACAATTTTCAGGACACCAGAGTGACTACAAACATGAAATTATGCAGCCATGGCTTTCTGTTTCACAGGACTACTGTATAAATATGAGAAACACAGAGGCCAAATTCCCGTAATCATCCATCACAAGTAGTAAATCCAAAGAATATATTTCTGATGTGCAGCAAATGATTATTGAGCTTCACGAATTAGAAAGTGGCTGTAAGAAAATATCTAAAGCATTGAAAATGACAATTTCCACCATCAGGGAAATAATTGAGTACAATAATTGAGACAAAAAATGTTACAAATCTGCCTGGAAGTGTGTCTATATTATCTTAAAGCAAGGCGAGGAGGCTAGTGTGAGTGGCCAAATGATCACAGCTGGAGAACTGCAGAAAATATTTTCATAATTTAAAAAAATAAAAATTTATAAATATATACTATATATATAGTATATATTTATTTATATATCAAACATCACCTACATCACCTTTTTTTAAAAATATGCACTGGTGGAGTGGAGGTACACATCATGCTTTCAATAAATGCTCAAACATGTGGAAGAAGTTTTGCAAAGTTTTTTTTAGTACAATGAAGACTTTTAAGGGCAAACTGACTCCTCATGATGTGACCCCTTTAAAACATTCAGAAAGGTTTTGTTCCCTCAAAAAAACCTTAAAGGGTTAGTTTACCCCAAAATGAAAATTCTGTCATTAATTACTCACCCTCATGTCGTTCCAAACCTGTAAGATCTTCTTTCATCTTCAGAACACAAATTAAGATATTTTTGATGCTGTTTACGTTCAGTGAATACTCTCCAAAATGGCGCCAGGGTGCAGGGAGGAGACAAATTGTTGAATAAAGTATTTTTTTTCTTTGCACACAAAAATTTACGTTAAAATTAAAATTTAAACGTTACGTTACGTTAAAATTTAAATTACGGTTGAACCCCTGATATCACATGGATTATTTTACCGATACCGATACCGATATATACCGATTTGTGTTCCGAAGATGAACGAAGGTCTTACGGGTTTGAAACGACATGAGGGTGAGTAATTAATGACAGAATTTTTGGGTGAACTATCTCTTTAATAATAACACTTCTTACTAGCAAATATTTTTTTTATAAACACAATCCAAAACATCCCTTTCTTGACCCGCAGGGCGAGTGCAGCGATTTGCCCACCAAACCTCGGTAACTAATGCGTGCTTTTGAAGCAGTGATCCAGAATGAAATCTCCAGCGTTCATCCCAGCATGCCTCTCTTTAATTGTCATGTGTGGCATCTCTCTCGCTCTCAATGCTTCTCTTCACATCACACATCGATGTAATGAATCATAATGCCTCCTGGATCATCCACGATCCCCGCTGCCCTCAAAGACTCCTTTCATTCATCACACACACACACACACACTGACCAACAAAGTCCCGCAGAGCTCCAGATTCCCCACACTTGCCCCGCATTTCGCCAAAAGGAACGAGTTTACTGTCGCACACCTTGCGCGGCCGTCAGCATCAACACATGTGTGACTCGGCCAATGCTAATCACCGCTGCCAAACACAACTCGCCTCTCGCATGTATTAGAGGACAAAGATGTGTTGTGTGTGTGTGTGTTTGTGCATCTGCCTCCAGAGGCCAAAGCTACAGTATATTTCCACTTGAAGGTGACTACAGGAAAATGTGAGGGTAAGAGAAAACATTGGGTGGAAACTTCTTGCTAGTGCACTTGTTAGAGTCAACGTGTTTAAGTTTAATACAAATCACAGCTTTCATTGTGAAGAAGACACTTCACTTTTAAAAGAGTAGGGTACAACAGGGCTAAAATTACACCCTAAGAAAAATTTGCTTTTCATTGCGCCCAAAGTGTATGATTGCATACAGAATATATACGTTTGCATTGAACATTTATGGAGCAACATATTTTGTGTGAAAATACATCATACAAGTTGTTTATTTTGTTTAAAACAATCTTACAAATGTATGAGGTGGCAAGGTGGGCCTTTTACTCCACACACGGGGTAAAAGGCACACAGTATTGATACAAATACTTTAGCTAAAATAATGTTTTTTTGTTTTTAAATAATGTATTAAAAGTTAATACTTGTTAAAAACAATCACTTTAGCAAAGTTTGTACTATTTTCTGCTTATTTTGATAAATAAAAAAAAACTGTTCATTACATATACTGTTATTAAAATATGTTAATACATATATACATTTCTGTATTTTAAAATACAGAAAAAAAAACATTTTACAAAGTAAAGATTCTGAAAGCATTGAAGCAGATCCCATTATAATTTAATAGATTTACAGTAGTAACAACAAATTATATTTTATTATATGACATGATTAATATCATGTTTTTAAATATGATGGTTTCATTTTAAACATGGTGATTATCTCTAAGATGGACACTCAACATACTATATGATATTTACCATCTGAATCTAACCATGTCATGTCAACAAATGGAAAAGTCAGCCTTCTATTAATTATCATGTTAATAATTGTGCCTTTAGCCCCAACAGCGGGGGCGCTTTTTACCCAAAATACCATACTTTTACATATTCTTTCATTATTTAAATAATGTTGCTTTAATTATCTTAAACAAAACTGAAAATCATTAAGAAGACCTTTGTCTCAAAATATATTTAATAATTTTAGTGATTCTCATTTGCTACTTAAATCTACAACATTTAAAAAAACATCAAATATTAGATCAAGTAAGCGCAGAATCAACTTTACGCTGCTGCTCGCGATCGCGTCAAGGATCAGTCACATTTGCACGAGCATCTTGAAAAGCGGATGTTTTGGAAAGTGCTATGCCAAGTTTTTCTGCCATCTAGTGGTTTAGAGGAAAATAATAGCAAAGACGCCTTTTATTTTTTTGTGTCATATTCTGAGTTTGCATTTCACTGTTTTTTTATTTTGAGGAATACTGTATCTGTTTTTGCGCAGGTGAGATGAGTAAAAGCATGTTCACATTTAGTCTAGTAGCCTACTACAGTAAGCATCATGTTTACACAGCGCACACAACGCCTCTGCACTTACTCCCGATTTCTTTCAACATGGCAACACGAGAGCTGTCAGTCAAGAAATTAGAAAACCGGCATTACTTATTTGAAAAAAAGTAACTCAGTATTTTACTGTAAATTAAAAAGCAATGCATTACTTTACTAGTTATTTGAAAAACGTAATCTGATTACCTAACTCAAGTTCCCTTTCAGTCAGTCACATTTGACGTTACGTCGACTGACGTTAGGGGTCTCACTCGGGAGCCCCAATCACCTCTGAGTTTTAGAAGAAAAGGCCAATGAGAATTGACGAGTGGAATTTGCATGCCAAGCCACTCCCCCGTACATACTGGTATATAAAATGGCAGCATGCATCCACTCATTCAGATTTTTGCTTCGGAGCCGATCGCTTCGTGATCACTGCCTTCTGAAAAGGAGAAAGAAGAAACGGAGTCCTCGGCTGCTGAGAATCTTCAGCTTCTCTTGCATTCAGCGGAGAGATTGCCCTGGTTGTGCACAGATAAGATAAAGTGTTTGCCCAGGTCCTTCCCTGGGCAAACCAGCCTAAAAGAGCAATTTCCTACAGCAAGCACGGTCTTCGAGAGTGTCTTTCAAGATGTCTTTCCGACTGTGTGCTTCTGGGTGCGGTAGTGCCCTTACCTCTGACGACGGTCACGTAAGCATGCCGAGACGGTTTTCGTGGATGG